CCCTTGATGCGAGAGAAGAAACCCGAGATGCCCAGAAACTTCTGTGATTTAAGAAAGGAAGACGCCTTCATAACGTATGTTGCACCGATAGCATGAAGAATCTCAAGACCGAACGACTCCATCTTGAGATTCTCGATCTCGAGGTTGATTTTCTGCTTAAAAGCAGCGGTGACATCGGATGCCTTGTCCGTCTCCGTCCACAGGGAGATGCGCTCGACCAATTTCTTGGAGAGGTTGGCAACACGCTCGTCGCGGATCCTTTTACGTTCCAGCTCGTAGGCTGCAAGCTCTTCTCGCTGCTCCTTGGTTAGACCAGCCTTCTTCTTCTCCTTTGCCCGAAGCTCTTTCTCCGCATCTGTCATGCCTGCTGCCTCCATGCGTGCCTCTTCCTCGGACCTATCCATGATCGCCGGTCGCATTGGAATGCCACGGGGCTTGGGCGTGCTAGCGCCAGACGGCGGCGATGCAGCACCAGCAGCGACAGGGGGATCGGTCGCAGTCTCAGCATAAACTGGTGGTGGCGCAGTGTAAACAGGTGGCGCATCAGCGGCATGGGCGCCTGTGCGCTCTGCCGCAGCTTCGGCCTCCTTCGCATTGGCAGCAACGCCTGGGGACGAGGGCGCGACGGGCGGGGAAGAAGTGCCAGCGGTGGCAGTCGATGGGCCTGCCGTAGCCGTGGTTGGAGATTTAGGTGGTTCCCCGGCTTGAGCAGCCTGTTCTTCCTCCATTTCGCGCATAGATATCTCCATTGTCTTGTTCAGGTCCTTCATCAACGAGATCTCACCAATCCTACGCTTGTTAGCACAGAAGCCCCTCGCAACATAGCGTCTGGCGATCCGAGGAACAAACGTACCAGTCCACGAACGCTTCTCCACCAAAAATCATGGTGAAAAACTCCGAGGGGTCCTCTACAATCTGGTCAGTATCCAGTATCATCAGCCTATACCAAAGGGACCATACCGAACCCACTGCTGGGCATAGCGCCCTCTTTTCCATACTTGTCATATGCTGCTCGTAGCTGCTCATCGCTGAGTATTTGGTATGCTTCTCCAATCTATATCATGGTGTGAGCCCCGCAATTGTACTGTTGTGAGTCGTATCGATTGCGCGCCAAAATCTCCGACTTGCAAATATGAACACACCTCCTGAAACTTTGCATGCGCCGTCTCGTCACCAGGATTTTTATCTGCGCGGGGTTAGAGCCAAAATCAGCCCGGGTGGAAATTTTTGGGTGGGCGTACCTGGATGCAGCTTGATAGCGAGCTTGCGGTAAGCCTTCTTGATCTCGAGTTCAGAGGCTGTTGGCGGTACGCCTAGGGCGTCGTAGTACGCAGTCTCCACAACCATGATTGCGAAACTTAGGAATATATGAGGTAGAGGGTGAGTAGGCTGAGGCGATGTGTGCACTGTTGGGCGCGCGTCGGTCGATATATGCAAGAGGCCCCAGCATGAAAACTGTGGCTTAGGCCTCGAGCCACACGCCGACGTCACCGCGCTAATCGCCCCATATGATAGGAGGGGTCTGCGCGTGGTCTGCGCAGTTTCACACTCACACTCAAGCTGCGTACAAACTTCGCCTTGAATAAGCAAGCCAGTTCCAGTTCTGTATCATGACAATGGCAACAAATACCGTTGTTACATGCATATTCTCATTCATAGTATGTTAGATGTAAGAGCTGGCCTAACAAGCTCAGAGCGCGCCATCCGTCTCAAGGTATCATCATCCTGACCATGGATCTCATCTGTGAAATCCCGTACCCATCGCCGCCCATGTAGACGCCATGCTGAAAATCCAAACCCCGATCATGAACCGGTAGACGGGATGCTTTTAGTTCAACCAGGTGTAGTAGTATGGAAAGCGCAATCAAGGAAAAGTGGAATGCACTGTATTATCCGGAGACAGCGGAAAGTATCGCGCATTTTGTACTTTTGTCCTGTCTTTTTGGTGTGACTCTCCGGCCTTAGACAGTGAACTTGGCCTTCGCACGCGTGCTACCAGCATGGGCAGCATCGGTGTGACCTGAGAATTCGACCGAGTCGCTGTCCTTGAGCTGCAGGGCTTGTTTGAACCGCTTTCCAATCTTCTGCAGGACCTCTTTGCCTTGCTCTGCGGTCCTGCCCTTGCCCTGCTCACCGGGCAGCGCACGGCCTACTGAGCGCGTCCAGAGACCAATACGATAGAAGCCTCGCCTAACGTTGACTACAACGCCCATGACTTCGTTGTCGTCCTCATCCTCGAGATTCTCGCCGATGGCCGCGAGCATGACGTGAAGCCACAAGGCATCGATGTTGATGGCCTTCTTATCCTTGAACTGGAACGCCCACTTGCCACCGTGCTTGTTCTGCGAGTCTTCCCATTCGGGTCGCACGCCCTTCTTGAAGAGATGATAATCGGACTTGAGCGCAAGATCAGATGTAGGAGTGATGTTGTTCTGGAGCAAGGTCAGATGATACAATCACTAGTGAGGTAGTATAGAACTTACGTAGATGCCCCAAAACTCCTCAACCGAATCGAACGAGATGACCTCTTTCAGCAGCTCGGCCCAATTGTCGCCCTGCGTAGATCAGCACACTTGGTCTTTTAGCAGGTATTAGCATCCATGGCGTACCTTGCCGCTCGGTGGCTTGGTGAACCACAGAGTCCATGTGTTCATTAGCGGGTGCTTGACGTTGAAGTTCTCGGCGTCGTGAAAGACGGTCCGGATCTCGCCCTCAGATGTTTGCGCATCGGCGGATGACTTCTCCTTGCTCTCGCCGTTGGAACCCTCGGTGGGTGAGATTGGGATCGTGTCGAGTGGGACCTGCTGGTCAGGCTTGGGTGCGCTTGCAACGTCGGCCATTGCGATGATCGATTCGAGGGAGGTAATCAAGGGTTTACGAGGGTGTCAAACAGAAGAGGCTGTCAACGATGGGAGCTGGCCGTGTGCGGAGGGGTTGAAGACGAGAGAGTTGAAGTAAAGGAGGGGGTCGGTTTTGAAGTCGCGCCAGGCGAGCGGTCGAAAAAGGCAGTCGCGCAACTATTCTGCCTGGCAGACCGCGTGCAGTAGAAGGGTCGAGTCGGTGTAAGGCGATTGCGGTCGGGTGGGAGTGTTTGCTTCTTGCACAGTGAACATAGATCGTCCAAGCGAGAAATTCGGCAGGCGCAGTATCGGCCTTGGCACACTAGTACTGGACTTGCCTGCCCAGGTGGTTTCAGCATCAAACACCTGGGAAACTTTGGAGCAACAATGATTGAATGTAAAACAAGTTGCGGGTATGTTTCTGTATACATATGGCACATGTCCAAATCACCATACTGGGTTGATCTAGTCCAGAGAATCACTCCACAAAGCCTCGTCGCAAGGTAAGATGGGGCTTCAGTATCAGCACTTTCTCGGCCTGACCATCGCTACCTATAAAAAGCAGGCAGTGGAATTTGACATTCGCGCGGAGAGACCTAAAATTTTGCAATTATATTCAAGACCTCTCTCGCAGAAGATGTATTAAAATTCCATAGTCGCAGACAGCATTCAACCAAAGCGTCTCGTCAGCGTTACTGTTGTACATATAAACATGTTGGTAGTATGATCGAAAATGATCATAGTTCGCTGTGTCCAGACTTCACATGGGCTTCTGTGACTTGCGCAGGAACTTTACTGGCATAGCCCATGAGCTCGCCGATTTGTTGCTTGGCCTCAGAGTAAGCAATATCGAAGCGTGCGCCAGCCATCCAAGCGATGAAGAGCTGGAATAGTGTTAGCAATGCATGAAGATGAGGGATGATGGTGTGCGATGCACTTACCATGAAACAAGAGATGATACCAACAGTTCCTAGCACAGCTGCAACCATATAGATCAAGTCCCACCTGGATTCGTAATCTTCCTTCCTCTTCTTCTCTGCCTCCTCGATACTTGCAGGGGACTTCTTGTCTGCTGGTGGCTTCTGCGAAGGGAATATTGATTCGATAAACTGCTCAATCTAGGATAGTGTGAGCAGGAGCGACAGAGACTAGAGATTTGGGAAAGACTCACTCGTCCAAGAGCTATGCTAATTTTTAGGAAATTGGGGTCGTGTGGGTTGTTCTTCTTCGCAATCTTGCGGGCATATCGTCGGAATACTTCGCAGACGAGTTGCAGATTTTGTGTGGACTCGACCATGAGTTGGCATGCCTCTCCCTTTGTGATCTTCACATTCTTCTGAAAGACGTCATAGTTCTGGAAGCAAGCATTCAGCGTTGCAATAGCCATGGACTGTGGGATAGCGCAGAAGTTAAACACACTCTGCTCTCTGATGCCGGCGAGATAATAAAGGCAGTCATCAGCACGGTTCAGCGCGGTGAGAATCATCTCCGAGCTTGTCGCCAGAGCCTTCTCCTTATTTTCCGGCTTGAAAAGGTCCTCAAATTTGTCGACATGCTTGGACCAGATCTCCTTTGGCCAGAATCGTCGTCCATCATCCAGATCCTCCTTGATGTCACGAGTAATGTTGACTTGCTGGAGAAATTGGCCCATGGATTCCATGAGCTCTGGCTTTTGAAGCAGTGCCGCGTTAGCAAGACCACCTTCGACAAACATTCGAGTGACTCCCTCTCCGACGAGGCCTGCAACATAATGGCAGTACAACTCATAGTCCTGAATAGTGTTGACCCCAACGTTGTTGAACTCGGCGTTGTTTGCATAGTCTGCCATTCCATTACCCATGCGCTTTGTGATGTCCTTGATAATCTCCTGGTACGCCGGCTTGATCTTCTTAAACTCCTCAATAACCACGTTGAACTCCACCAAAAGCTGCCTGTCCTTTTCGTTGGGGCCATTTTCAGTAAATGTCCAGCCTTCCTGGTCTAAGAAGTTCTGGAAGTTGCGCAGGATAGGCTCCTTCTTCTCCAATGGTATAGTCATATCATCCTCCACAGTGTCGAGGCCGCGCAATACGAGGTAGAACAGTGCGATGGGGACCAGTAGTTCGGGATGTAGTTCCAGGATGACCATCGAGAAACTGCGGCTAGTCAGGCCGAGGAAGTGGAAGCATCGCTTGAGCGACGCAGACTCGAGCGCTTCCTGGCGCTCGTGTACGGGGTTGTGCCAGACTTTCCTGGGGACGATGTTAGCAAGACTTTGTACGCGTTACAAGCTACGGTAGGGCGCGTAATTATCCGTCTCGTTGTCGCATACCATTGAATGATTGACCGTAGTTCATTGGGGTGGAAGATGTGGTAGATGATGCTCGAAGGGCTCGGCATGCTGGGCAGACTGTAAAGGAGTTGGAGACGGAGGCGTGAGGAGGCGCAAACTTTGGCGAGCACGTAGAGGTCGCACGGCGCCAATGGATCCAAACAAGTCTGGAGTTTGTGCAACGAAGACCGACTAGTAATCACCGTTTATCAGGCCGCGTGGAGGTGTATGATGAAGCAATTGTGTAGTAAAGTTTCGGCGGACCAAGTCAATCCGCTCCACAGTCTTGGACCCTGGCCCACTCCCTAGGTTTGCGCCATCCCGCATTCAGAGCGATCTCCTGGCTCAGTAAATTGCCCCTGGGTCTGGCACAGGTTTTGACAGCACCAGCTGAGGGATTAGAAGAATCGAAAGGAATCTTCACTCTATGGCTTCACAAGTCATCTTGTGCAACCAAAAATGGAACAAGTGAATGTTGCAGCTTATAGTGAGCGATCTTCAGGACGTACGGGTGTATTTTTCGTAGTCTTAGCATAGAGAGTCTTCCATCAACTACGGAGTATTGTTTTTACATTAAATTACCAGACAGTGCACCGACGATGAGCGGAGAATGTACGTAGACTGTTCCGTGAGCCTACCGCTATTCGCCTTTGCCGGTGCTCGTCTCTTTCGCGTCATCCCAGCCAGGGCAGCTCAGTCCCTCCGCCTTGAACTGCTCGTCCTTGATCACTCGACATATCTGAATCTTAGACTTGCCGGACCGCAATATCAGCGCTTCCCAGTCAACAAGGAAATGGTTCGGATCTACAGCTACGCCTGCTTCGATGGTGGCCCACCGTAAGACCGTGGGATTTTCTTGAGAGCCGGAGCCAGGCACGACTACATACGCGCCTCTCTTAGCTATCAATCGCTGTGCGTCACTCTTCGATGAGGCCAGGCCGGCGGCGAACAGAACGCGTGGAAAAGAGCCAGGCTGGAGCATGGATAGTGGGATGGTTATCACATTGCGATCTTCGCTCTTCTGGCGTTCGCTGGAGGTGCCAGACCTTGCCTGCGTAGTTGAGGAAGCAGCGTATGCTTCCTTGTATGCGGCCAGCTGCTTCTCCCTGTTATTAAGAGGCTTGACGGGAGAGTCAGATTTGTTGTTTGTTGATAGTGCACTTCTGAGGGCGCCGAGCGGAAATGTGTTGGTTCCTGCACTAAAAGCCTCTTTGTGTGCAGTCTCTGCCTTTTTCGCCTCTGCAGAACCGTGGGCAAGCTCAACAATCTCCTTAGCTAAGATGTGTTGTGCCAAGCGTCTCGATTCGTCTTGTCGCTGCTTTTTCATGAGCAGTTCGATATCTTCTAGTGGCAAGAACGTGAACAACTTCAGGTAACGTTCGACGTCGTCATCTGCGGTTCGCACAAAGTACTGTACAGGGTCGTCAGCAGTATTCTAGTGAAGGTGATACTGTGCGTACTTGATAGAGGTCAAACGAGCTGAGCATGTGCTTGTCTAGCCATACAGCGTTGCCTGCGCTCTTGCCAAATTTTTCCCCGGAGGCCGTGGTGAGCAGTGGCGTCGTCAGGCCATATGCTGCTACACTTGGATCGTCATCTTTACTGGTCGTATCGCTCATGCGGTGGATTTTGCGCATGTGGCTGACCGCATCCATGCCTGCACATATATTCCCATATTGGTCTGAGCCTCCGATCTGCATCTGGACCCCTCGATTCTTGTACATGCTCCACCAGTCGTAGGCTTGGAAGAGGGGGTAGCTGAACTCGGATATTGCCATGCCCTCACCACTTTCCATGCGTAGCTTGACTCTGCTCCCATGTCAGTAGACGTCCGAATCCCGAACTGCCAAACTGACTTACGAGTCCCGGCTGAGCATAGGCCCCAGCCGCATGCCAGATCCAAGGTCTCTCATCAACTCGACCGCACTGAGCGTCTCCAGCCAGCTTCGATTGTCGAGGATGTCAAATCTCCGACTGGTGTACTGCGAGTACTGGTGCTTGATGCCCAGGCATTTCACATTGGTCCAGAGCTTCTCGAGTTGACCTTGTATGCTCTCTACATTCATGGACCGAACATCTGCAGCTTGCCGTGAGCGTGCTGTGGTCCTGCCAGAAGGGTCTCCTATCTGTACCGTGCCTCCGCCCAACTAGCCAACATTAACTACCGTCATGGGTCTTGTCCGCAGGTCGCTCACCAGGCTGACGGTGTAGTAGCCGTGAAGGTACATCCAGTAGAGCGTCATGAGCGGGAGAAGATGGCCAACATGAAGGGAAGGTGCGGTAGGGTCTACGCCGACATAGGCTCCTATGCGCTTCTCTGTAAGAAGCCAGTCGAGCGTCTCGTGTCCACTGCGAAGAGTCAGATGAGCTGCGGTGCTGGCGCTGTACCCAATGCAACCCACCCAGCCACATGTTTGACGAAACCGCGCTCTTCAAGCAGACTCAGCATGCTCTGCTGTGAGCCTGACCGTATCCTCCCAGCCTGTTCCTCCCACTGTGATTGTCGCACCGCAGCATCAGTCTCTTCGGCCGCCCAGTTCACCGTCGGTCGCTCACCACGAGCCAAGGTGTGCTGTCTTCGTATACATTGCCGGCACACGAACTGTCGTGGCCGCGACAATGGTCTCAGGACCGACATGGCTTGACAAGTCGCATTGTGTGTTGTGTGCTTGCTGTCGAAAAGTTTGGGGATAATCCCCAAATTGACGGGTGCGCTGATTGGCTGAAGCTTCCAGCTCCCATGTCGATCAAACGGACCCGCATGTTCCCGACAACACACCTCCGCACCTGTCAGCTGCACCCTACCATACCCACTCTCTCTCTCTCTCCTCTTTCATGTACTACGGTAGCTCCATTCTCCAGGTACATTGCACTACCTTCTGTAGGGTCACACAATCGATCCTTCATGACCCTACTGTTTCCCACAAATCATCAACGTATCGACATCATTATAAGCTGCGTTTCCATTGTGTCTCCCCGGCATTGAACCATCCGTCGTCTAGGTACCTGGTACTCCTCGTTTTGCATGTAGCGCAGCACATCTTTCAATTGACTATACCTATTGTTTCTGCATCGCTACTTTGCTGCCATGTATGCTATGCTTACTTGCCATCCGCCTTTGGGCCAGACCACCACGGTAGCTCCAGGGAAGGACTCGGTAAGCCCGAAACTACACATCTCACTTAACGACAGGTTATGGGGGTGCTAAGAAATCCACAGGTCAGGTTCACGGTAGTAATCGAAAGCTCAACGGGCTCCGAGAAGTCATGGGAAGTAGCCCTTTGGAACAATCTCGAAGTTCACGACCAATGGGCGAGCCTGAGTCTCAACCCCATGATCGGGCCGTCCGTGGTACGATGTCTGCCCACTACCTCGCCAATGCACACAACTAAGATTACAAGGCCGTGATCAAACCAACACAGGCTATTGTTCAACGTCATTACTTCTCTATAGACCTACCTGGACGACCTAAGCATGGCGCCTCTGTCTCCTTTACAGTTACTTTCAGAGGGTCCAAGGTGTGTTCATCTCCATTTGTCACTGTCATGCTGGTGTACCTGGCCATCATCTATGTGCCCTCCCTGTCACCTGAAACTGTAATCCAACGCAGCATTTTTGACGACCACGGGTGGAATATAATCATGTTGACCAGATACAGAACGAACCATGGAAATGGGCTAACGAGCAATTTTCCACTTCAGATGGTCGTCTCATCTACCAGTCGCAGGATTTATTCGAGACCGATTTGACTAATTACATTGATGGCCTTCCTCCATTCGTGACAATCAACAAAGAACCAAGTGACACCCCAAACACCATGCTGTGGTCAATTACTAGCCCCGTCAGTGCGGCCACAGGCAAAATACCAGGCACATCTTTTGAGAAGCTGGGTATGCCATCGAACCTGTCCCGCTGGTTCGCATTAGTACGCCTCTGGGGCCCATGGATTGCTCCTAGACAAGGTAAGGACAGATTTGAACCAGATAAAGAAGCCATCCTAGCAGTGTTTGAACGTCATGATGGTGGCCATCTCGCAGTGCTTCCAATTAGCGGTGTTCATGATGTCCTGACCACCCTCACCCATGATGGCGAAAAAAGAATAGTCTTCAACACTCAGAACGATGCGGAGAAAGAGGGCAAGACTCAGATCATCGTAGCAGTCGGCAAGAGCTCAGAAGATGCTGTGGCTGCAGTCATGTATCATGCACGAAGGGTAGTCATGAGTTACGCAGCAGCGTCGGGTGAAATGGGCGCTGAGATGAATGCCTTGGCGGCTGACTTCAAGCCGCAATGGCTAGAGAACTGGTGTAAGTAACCTCCAAGAAACTGTGTCACAGATCATATTGCCACACATACCATTATTTAATGGTGCTGATATACTCTTAGATGACGGTTTGGCATTCTGTACATGGAACAGCATCGGCCAGAACCTCACCGAAGAGAAGCTTTCAGACGCCCTCGGCTCCCTGGCCAAGAACAATATCAATGTCAGTAGTTTGATCATCGATGATGGCTGGCAGTCAGTCAGCTCAGGAGACACCCAATTCCAAACTGCTTGGCTAGAATTCGAGGCAAGCAAAGAAAGATTTCCTCGTGGACTCAAGGCCACTATTGGGGACATCCGGGAGAAATACAAGCATATTAAGCATGTCGCTGTGTGGCACGCCCTGTTCGGCTACTGGGGCGGCATCGCACCGGAAGGTCGCATTGCTAAAGAGTACAAGACCAAGGTTGTAGAACTAAAACACGGCGTATCAGGAGGCAAGGTGATGGTCGTCTCAGATGAGGATGTCGATCGCTTCTACAAAGATTTCTACACCTTCTTGAGCGACGCAGGCATTGACTCTGTCAAAACGGACGGGCAATTCTTTGTCGATGAGGTCAATGATGCTGATGATCGTCGACACCTGATCAACGCATACCAAGATGCTTGGAACATAGCACAACTCCGCCATCTCTCTGCTAGAGCGATTTCGTGCATGTCACAGACACCCCAGATTATGTTCCACTCATTACTACCCACGAATAAGCCGCGCATCCTGTTTAGAAACTCGGATGACTTCTTCCCTGACGTTCCCGCCTCGCATCCATGGCACATCTTCTGCAACGCTCATAACTCCATTTTTACACAACACCTTAACATTCTCCCTGATTGGGACATGTTCCAGACTTCCCACGACTATGCTGCTTTCCACGCTGCTGGCCGCTGTGTCTCTGGAGGACCAGTCTACATCACCGATGTTGCGGGACAACATGATTTGAAGCTGATTGCGCAAATGACAGGCAATACACCGCGCGGTGACACGGTAATCTTACGTCCCCACACTGTTGGAAAGAGTACCTCGGCCTACAACTCTTACAACGACGCTATCCTTCTCAAGATCGCGACATATGTTGGCATGGCCCATACCGGAGTCAGCATCCTCGGTGTCTTCAACTGCACCTCTCGCACTCTCGCAGAATTCATTGGTCTTGATGCCTTCCCTGGCGCGGAGCAGGGAATGTACATTATTCGCAGTCATACTGATGGTCAGGTCACAGCGCCAACCAGTGTCGAGACTAATGCGGCGTTTGTTCACCTCGAGCTTCCCGTTCGCGGTTGGGAGATCTTGTCTGCCTTCCCACTGCAATCTTTCAGACTGCAGCGCGAGCACCCTGGCAAGGGTCCCGAGAACATCGCCATCGCCAACTTAGGTATTATTGGTAAAATGACGGGCGCGGCTGCGATTGTCAATACAGACAGCTATGTCGACCGAGCCTCTGGTCGACTACGAATCTGGACTTCCTTGAAGGTGTTGGGGACATTTGGTGAGCTAGAAGATGGACAAAATTTTACGACTGAGGTGCTAATCTGGCGTAGGACTCTATATTACAGATCTGAAGCAACGTTCCATTGAGGACGACTTCTTTGCTGTCATTTTCGGTCGTCCCATCTCTAAAGAATGTGTCAAGGTCAGCGATGAGTGTGAGAATGTACTAGAAATTGACACCATCAAGGCGTGGGAAGAGAGTGATTCGAAGGCGGGGTGGAGCAATGAGGTGGCTGTTGAGGTTGTGATCAGGTAAGTATCAATGGCAAATTCCTTGGGGCGTCTTATGGTCCGAGACATTGAATTATGCATTACTTCGCAAAGGAGATTGACCACCCTTTCTTTCTTTCTCTCTAACCCTTTTTCCCTTCCAATATGTGACACATCTTGCGAGCCCAACTCTATATCGCAACAAGCACTGAGTGAGCGAGCATGATCCTCCTCATCCACCCCCCTAGCCATCATTCCATTGCTCGACACCCAGATCCAACAGAGATGAAAAGCTACTGCATCAGAAATGTACGCAGCCTCTAACGACCGGCACCCACTTTATCCAACCGCTTGGTAAGCCGAATATCAACACGATGCATAGTCTTCCTCGTCTGCGTCATCTCATTCTGCATCCGCTGCATCCGCCACTCCACATCCTCCTGCATCCTCCTCAGCCGCTGCGACAGACCCTCTATTTCCGCAATCTGCCCCGTGACATGGTAAGTACCCTGTTCATTCGGCGGACCCAGCGTATCCACCAGATTATCGATGCGCAGGCCGTGGCTCTCGCTGGCCTGTTCGAGCGCCTTGTAGCGACTGTCGAGATCTGCGAGCTGGATGGTGTAGAAACCGGTTGTTAGGTTGGTGATTGCGTTTGTGCGCTCGACGAGGTGAAGGGTTTGGTGGTAGATGTCGGTTTCGCAAATGGGTTGTTGTTGAGATGGGCTGTTGTTGTTGTTGCTGCTGCTGAAAGTAGGGAATAGGGAGTGGACGGTTGGGTACACACATATGACTGTCACGACGAGCCAGGCCAGTGCGATTAGGTTGTGGTAAGTCAGGCTAGGTTCAGTTACCTTGTCGTTCTCGTCCTCGGCCACGCAGCATTTTTCGTCCTTCTTAATTACGGGCGCGAGCGTGCTGCGGGCGGTGGTATCCCCTGTCGCGGCAATTTCACAGGACGACATGGGCTGCACGTGTGCTTCGAGCGTGTCAAACGCGGTCCAGATACAGCTTGTGGCGCGGGAGCAGTAATCCAGAATGTGACCTACCTGCCCAGTCATATGTGTGTAAGCCGCCTGTTTAGCATCTGCATCGAGGTCCGAGGCCGCGTCGAGGTCTTCCATGCAAGTGCTGCATTTCCTGTTTGCGTGGCCGAGGATGAAGATTGCGATCTTGCTTGTTGCGGTAGAGAGTGAGCGGGCGCGGTGGTGGTAGCGGTTTGCTTGGGTTTCTGGGAGCTGGCGTGGCTCGAGGTGGGTGACTGCGAGGTTTAGGGAGGTGATTGCTAGGCTGAGGGTGTTGTAGTCGGTGTATGGGGTCCATTTATGGAGGGGGGGTTCTTTGGGGCCGTCTAGTTGGGTGGTGATGTGGGATTGGAGAGCTTCCATGGTTGTTTGTACATGTTTCATGTGGAGGAGGATGACTTCTGCTAGGACGTCTATGTTTTGCTTCTACTTTTTTGTTAGACTTTTCGATTATGTTGTGTGGTCTGCGTTACTTACTGTGCGAGTTGTATTTTCACTCGTGTCTCCAATCTTCAATGTAGCCTGTTGCTTGGTCTCTACTCCTTCAAGAGAGACATACTGCAGCGCTGAAGCAACGGGATCTGTAGAATCTTCCATGTCGAAAGCGTCATGTACCTGGGCGCTCGTAGTGGGTGGGGCTCCTTCCGACATGGACGTTGCAGTCTCGCGGATCAACCTACCGGTCTCGTTCGTGACTAGTCGCAGAAGTGGTTTGTCTTCAAAGTCACCCAAATTGCCATAGGTGAAATCGCTGGCCACTGAGTGCTCCGTCAAGTCGTCGTGGTCGATCGTGCAAGTGACGATGATCGCAAAGAGTATAATCTTGTCAGTTGACCATGTACAATTCCGTGGGACTGAAATATCTAGTGTGGTGGGCGCGGGGTCAAGGTGATGGCGAGATTTGTTTGCTATGTCTCTGCAGCGGACGTGAATTGAGGGTGAATAGGAAGTGTAAGTCAGAAATGACCTGTGATGCCTGTTTGTGATTGGAGGCTGGTGAGCTCCATATGGGGCTCTTTCCTCTTTGGGGGTAGCGCATTGGTGAGCGTGAAAGGGCTTGGGTAGCACGTTTGTTGAAACATGAGATCTGATCTTCAAGTGTGGTTCTCATGATGATTGTCTTGCAGAGCTAGGTGAAGAGGTGCAACTAGCGTTTACTGGGCACATGAACCTGTCCGGCTGGTGTGGGAAGAAGACCTTCTGTTTGTGGGCACATACTTTTTGAGATCTTCTGGCACAGAGCATGACGATGAAATGAGATCCGTTTACCAACGACAATCGAGGATGAAAAGTCTTGAGAATGGACGCAAGGGAAGAAAAGGAATCTAATCAAACTTTCCATGGCAAGAGATGTTGCTCTGTGTTTTTCTTGTAAGATGGACGCCATGAGCTGTCGCAATATGCATGTCATCCCGAATGACATTGCTCTGCCTGGCGTATCACTGGAAAAAGTCCGCTTCTTTGAGGTCCTGCAATCTTACGTTTAGGAAAAGACTGTGGATGAATGCATCCGCATCCTGCGTTGCATATCTAGTAAGTCATTTTCTAGCCACAGCGTGGGCGTGGGCAAGCTAGACGATCTGATGGAAATAAGAGGACGCGTGCATCTAACACAACAGTCAACTGTGTCTCAGGGCTTCCAGACTCTTGTGGCCATGCTGTGTATCCGGGCCAACGTAGCGAGATGCATTGCGACGCGGACTGGCTGCCGTCAAAACCTGATGAGCGGAATCTGCATCTGATGGTAGCACGATCAGTCATGTTGCGTTCGGGAGCTCGCATGCTTGGGACGCAGTGTCTGCACGTCGTCTGTTTTATAATTCAAATCTGCGATACGACGGTCAAGCATGCGGAGTAGGTAGAGTGGAAAGCCGGGGATGGACGGGGTTGCTACCAGGATCCAAGTATACCGACCGGTACCGGTACAGTGCCTCATGTCCTGTTTGATTGGGACGGGTGAATGAAAGATCAATGGCCACGCACGCCATGGCACCAGCAAAGATGATAGATGCACCGAAGTGCAGTGTATCGTTGACGACAAGAAATCCCATATATCGCCAAAGACCTATGTAGTGGAGTGGTCAGGTTGGATGCAGACAAAGTGTGAGCCGACGGGGTCCCGAGCATGGTCGATCGGCATGGGCGCCCGGGGGCCGACTCCGGCTGGCGAGAGCATTCGTCCATTGGCCACTCATCAGTCCATCAGTCCATCACTTCATATCAGTGACGTTCTCGCGACTTGGTTGACCTCTTGGACGCGATTTTGGACTCGACTCGACTCGACTCGCAAACGCAATCTTGCACCGGGCTGGCGTTGGGGGGAACACGGAGAGGAGCTGAGTCGCGGAGTAGGAAAACTGCCCCTGGCCCTCCTTCGAAGCGACTGACGCAACCAAGGCGATAGTGCTTCCACTAGGCTCACGACATCTCCCAGCTCGCTGGTAGGATCTTCAAACTCTATTCGGAAGTGCCTGCTGCCGTGCCACGTTCCTAGGCAATGTTGGCCATCAGGCATCAAGATCTCCCATCCTCACACTTCCTTGGACGACATTCTGTTGGTACCAAGTATGTCAGTTCCAGACTCATGAGGATGATTGCGTCCAAGGACCACCATATTGGAAACGGTTCAGCTGGACAATGGATGGCACTTTCGAGGCCTCGAACTCCTGGCCTCTCGTCGTGTCCTATCCCTGATGCACGATCTGGATGCACGAGATGGGTAGTCTAGCGTCATATGGGGTTGGCGAACGCAAGCCACGAGCGCCCAAGTCGCGTTTAGGCGAGGATCAGCTATTGCAATCGGTCCACATGAATTGTAAACAGGCAGCCTCATGGGCTAAGAGACGCCATCGTCTGTCCGCGCAAGTACTGCTTCCCTAGGCTATCCGTGGAGCTACCCTGATAACATGGGTAAAAGTTGTACAAAGCTGCATCCGCCCGCGCCCCGGGCTCGAGGTTCGTCTCTCCTACGTATCCTCTTGATTACGGGAGCTAGATAATTCGATGCCAAACTTTACAGCCCTGCTCCTGGAGCTCTCTCTCTGATGATCTTGTTTGTACTACCAGCGCACACCTTATTTAGAGGGTATAGAGAACTTTGGAAATCATGTCTTCCTTCAAAGTCAGCCTCAAAAAGGACCCCCAACTTGCGATACCCAACCGCAGTTCATCACTTCCACGCGACCGTGGCACAGATCGATCTCGGTCCCTGAGTCGAGTAACCTCCGCAATAGGTTCAGCAAGTCGTCTATTACCTCAGCGACGTGGCTCGCATTCCACACCACGGCCAAAGTCTCTGCCCATTGATGATCGCTCCTTGGAAGCGCCGTTGAACCATTGTAACCTGTCGAACAACGCTTCCTTGAACCCAATAGACGTCATAAACTCTTCTGGGGTTCAGCTCAAAACAAGATCTGCTAGCTGCTCTGCAGCAGTTCGAAGGCCAATGCATTACGCCAGAGTTCAAAGATGGGCTGGCCTGACTCGTACTGTTAGTGACTGGGACTTCCTGCGACGGGTATGTACGCAATCACTGTTGAGAGAGGTTGTCTAAGTGCATGTAATAGGACCCTGAACTCTACTATGCAAACGGCGACTGCTATGTTCATTTACACGCTCGGGGAGCATCCCAGCGTGGCCCGTCTTTTTGCATTCCCTTCAGGGTATTAAAACAGAAGAAGTGCCATGCCATCTTAGATCAATGCGATGCTCATATCACATCCTCTACTAACATTGACCCTCGGCCACTGGTCACAATGCCAAGTTCACTCAACAATCCGGGGGAAGAACGCAGTACCATACAGCTTTTCATTCCTGCCCCCAACGAGACATCCCGCGAACATTCTTTCCAATGGCACATCACTACACGCAATTTCTTTGCTTTACTTTTGGGGAAACCGTTGGTAGGAGAACACATGGGCCAAGCCTTTGTTGATTTGCAGGATAGACTGTTCCTGTTCCGGCCAGATCAGACAAACAATCATCAGGAGTTCCTGGATTATCTTGGGAACCAAGGTTACCGCGATCTTGTAGAGTGTACCGACTATGCACTCGCAAGCCTATACTATGCAGAGCATTACAAATTAAAGGCTGTCTGGATCGATGCATTTGCTCACTGCGTTGGGATGAACGAGAGCTTGGTCCTCAGCCCAGAATACACCGTAAGGAATCATCTATGGCAGCGAATGACGCGCCCAAGACAATAATTAACACCTTATAGGCCAACTCGAGCCTTACCAAGGCCCTGTTAAGGAGAGCACACCATGAAGTCGATCTTCGGCTAAATCGGATCTCCGCTGCTCTTGCTAGCTTTTTACAGAATGACCTGTCACCAGCCTACCTTGGTATAACCGACTCAGCACACAGCCACCTCGATTATTTCCGCCAGTTCTTGCACGGCTTCTATGCTAACAAGTTTGGGTACTGGCCGCCGCCTGGAGGTGTGTCTTTCCCAAAGGCGCTCTACAAGTCCATGTTTTACGACTTTCAGAGTTTGTATGACTATCTTGTGGACACAGAATCGACGAGCGATATTTCCATGCAGAAGCCTGCCAGTGGTGGCTTATGCATCTTGCAAACTGTTAGTAGCTTTGACAAGCGGCATGGCTTCAAAGCACAACCACACCCATTGCCACTATTGCCAGCAGAAAGGTCTACATCCAGCAAGGCCGAAGCCCAGAAAGCACTTAGAAAATTCAAATTGGCTAATCAGTATAACAAGACGTGCCAGCTTCACTCGGCTAGTGCGGCGTTGGCTGTCGCAACGAACGACTTGGATCACGTCGCAGCAAATTCGAAGATTGTGCAGGCATATATGCAGTTTGAGAGAGTGTATGCCGCAATCTCCTCACAAAAGCAGGAGAAGATCTCAGCGATTGACGCACGCAAAGTGAGGTGGCTCTTGATCTACGGTACACTCCAATACTTGACTTCTGCTCTTCGAGCTCCTAGAGAAGTTCGAGACTACGAGACTCCAGAGTATCCTCTATGTTGTGTAGCTGAACAATCTTCATGGAACACTGACACCGTAACATCGACCCCAATGGCCACCCCATTGGCGACACCATCTATAACTGTCAAAGAACTGTCTTCAGACAATCGGCACAGTCCCCTCACAATAGAACCAGATTGTAATCGGGAAGATTATTTCTCATCACCCAACTCCACTGCGGCGCCATCTCGTCAGACTTCCTTCCGCTTATTTGATCCACGATCATTGTCCATGCGTAATTCACGGAGAAATCTGAAATCGAACCAACACTGCGCCAGCATTGTCCACGAGAACAGTACCGGCCTTGACCCAGCGGCACTGGATTGTCATCGGCCGGTGTCTTCCGTCTACTCACAGCAATCGTCTGCGTCGGTGTTACCGGACGGAGCAGGACCAGATACATCCTGGCTCAGGTCAAAGACACCATCTGCGCGTCACAGCAAGACGTTGTCCCAGTCAGATTCGGTTGACTTGACACGCCCACGTACACCTCTCCTCGACTCTACACAACTGGAGCATACATCACTTTCTAGAATCTTTATGGACATGAGCGACGCCCCAAGCCGGGCTGACAGTACTGGCTCCACCGCCAGCTCAATATGGAGTGAACAAGCAAGCGTGGCATCTTCCAAGTCGAGCGCCGAGGAAGAACTAGCAAGTCCTGCCAAGCCTGGCCCTGGAGTGAATGGCGAACTCCTCGGCGGCTTCGCCTCGGTCGCCCATGCTCCTGCGGAAGGGTTCCGAACAAAGTCTATGACGGTAGCGACCAAAGCAAACATTCCACAGAGCCACATTCATCCTCTGCTGCGCCAGCCCTCGCGGCCAAGTGGATTTGAATTCAACTTTGAGACTCAGCAACCTCTGCTCGCTAGCAGTACAATCGAGCAGAGCAGCCATGGGTCTGGGATAGGAATAGCTCTCTCTGTTCCTCCGCCTTCGCCACCGCCGACCCGCGCTCTCCCGGACTTGCATGTACAGCTCATAAACTCACACACGACTAAAGCAATGTCCCCAACCACCGGAGAGCGACCTCAGCTCACCCTGCGGACGGTCAGCGCGGATACGGTCACGCAATATTGTGACCCCGCATCTAAGAAACCACGCAGTAGTAGCGACATGCTCTCCGCCATTGCGTCGCCCACCAGTGAAATGTGGGAACAATACAAGGCCGCACTCACTCGGCCAGACTGTCGCTCCAACAACAGCTCTGCATCCACCGACGCTATGCCACCGCCCGTCTCCCTCTCCAAGATGACGCAGAGTTTCAAGGTGCGATCCTTTCGCTTTCCGTCGTCCAGGATACACGCTTCTTCCCTCGAGGCAGCTGCTCAGAAGAAGGAAAACAGGCTATCCTCATTTTGGCGCAGGTGATTGTCAAAGATCGATAGTCCCCTTTTCTCTTGGCAAAGGTTTTCTTTTTTTGGGTTCAGCCGTGATGGTTGCGCATAGCGCCGTTGGTGTGTGTGCGTGCGTGTGTGGATCTCAAACTTTTGCATTGCCTTTTTTCTGGGGGGGCGGGGGCGGGTGCGGCGGCTTCCTGGTATGATTTGATCGTGTTCTATACCCTCGTGTGCATATATTATTACCAACTTGAATAGTAATATCAGATTCAAATTATTACCTACCTAGCCTAGTCTGCTGAAATGGTCAACCTCGACTACGATTTTCTCATCGTGCTTTTTGCAACCCGGTTAATCTTGGCGTTTTGATCGTTAGGTGCTCTGTCCCACTACACCTGTTGACTTTATTCCATACTCTAGCATGTCGATGGCCAACTATAACAAATACGGTGTGAGTAAAGAAAAGGCCCACATATTTTGTTTGCACGCTCTAATGATAGTACGACGACGAATTAGCAGAATGTAAACTCATTAGCACTGACCATCAAGCTCTACTAAATCTGCATATGGTCTTGAACTATAAGACTCTCTAGTGAGTAGACCAGATTCTCCTCCCTATCTCTGCCCGAGCACCGATTCCATCAATGACTTTAATGCTAAATGTATAATTAGGGTTGGTCATTTGTATCGTCGGATTCTGTGTTGTGAGATTAGTCCTTCTGTATGAGATGATGGCTTTGGTTCCGAGTTGAAATCTGAAAATCATCTAGTTAGCAGGGATATAGCAATGTATTGCAGTATTCATCATAGGAGCTACTGGAAGACGTCAATATAAAATACTATACTACGGTATGTGGTTCATGTAGACCCGCTCGCGACAGTAAGAAGCTGGTGTTCCTCGCATTTGAGACTTGTGCAAACACGTCGAGTTGGATGGGAAGTGTTTTGGAGTAGAATTCGATTAGCTGAAAGACTTCGACTGCACAAGATTGCTTTGCCTAGAGGAAACACAATCTTGTTATGCATGAGAAAACATGGTTTATGGTATCTGGAGATAAGAAAGAATGGCCATGCTTTTCAAATAATGCAAGAGTGGACAGGAGAGATTTCATGTCAAGTCATTGATTTGTCTATATACAGAAGACTTCGTATTACAATTATTCCATCACCACATTGTTTCGGATGAATGGTCTAGGTAAGGATCGTGTGCAACGGCAAATGCCAATGGCGCTCTTTGTATGCCGGAACTCTAGTTGAGCCAGGCGATGAACTCAGTGGTCTGAGTGCAATACTGTTTACTGTTAGCTATTCATCTTTGACGATTGATACAAATGAAACCTACCATATCGTTCCCAGAAGAATATCCGCACTTGACTTGAGGACCGGGGCCAAGGTATTGCTTGCCGACGGCAGTGTCAATCGCGTTGTAGAGGGCCAGACCAGGAGTGGCGTCGGTGATGTTGGGGCTCTTGATGAAGCCAGCCCTGTGCACACCGTCTGAGCACGGGTAGACCATAGATGGGATGTCCCTGGTTAAGCCCATGTCGCAGTGGATGTCTGTGGCGGTGTCGACGTGCATGTCGAAATGAGCTTCCATGTCGCCACCGTTGCTTTTGAACGTGTAGTTGTTGATAATCACCATCTGACTCTCAGGAGTCCATGTTGGGCCCCAGGAAGGGTCCCTGGAAGGCTCGCATGGAGGAGTGGGGCTGGCAAGGACAGCAGCGAAGAGGGCAGTGGCGACGGTGGCGTACTTCATTTTGATGGCGGTTGTCGGGGAGGTGGGTAGGTTGGTTGGTTGGTTGGTTGGAGTAGAGGAGTGGTGGTAGTTGTTGTGAGTTTGGATGATGGTCAGTAGGGGATGCTCTCTGGACATATTTATATACTGATTCTTTTGCCATTAATACGAAGGTTCGGTAGTACAGACGTCACTCGCTGACATGATTCAGCCGATAACTCCTAGTTGCGGGCCAATGTTGTAGATCGGACCCTTATCTCGTATTTTTATGCTAATGGGTTGCAGCATACATGGTAGTTTCCTGTAGACTTTTTGCATCGTCTATTCTGATTTCCGGTCTCCGAGCTTTTCGGATGATCCTTTATCGGCCAGTGAATGCCACCGACTTGATCATGGGATGTAGTAGTGATCGGCTCGACTAAAGTCAATCTAGTTAGTAGACATCCTCGTCCGAACACTAAAGTTACTATAGCAGCTTCCAATGCGTCCTTCATGCGCAAGTCTTGTTAGGTACTATTGAAGTGTTCAAAGGTATTGGGTGCACGACGGGGTCTCGGCAAGGGAATCGTTACATCCCGCAGCAGCGACGTGCTGTCGGCTGTATCGGAGGGACGTGGTTGTGCATCAATCGTCGGTGTTCGGTGGTTTTCCTTCATGGCTTTCCCCTCAATCTACATTTTTCCTGCTAATATTAGGATTAATCATGAGGCTGTGCTACAATAGCCTTGCCAACAAACATCGTTGCCAATGCAGGGATCGGGAGAGCAGCGCGCCGCTTCCGTATAGTAGTGTGGAGCTTCGGGTCATACCTTGCCTCGTATAGGATTGTCTCGGCGGTACACTGAGCCCCATTACAATAGTATAACGGTGAAATGGAATACATTAAAAAAAGCAAGGGACCGCTCTTCGAAGAAGATATTTTTCACGCAAACAGACTCTGAATACGAGAGTAAACAACGGTGAACAACGTCGAGACTCGAGGTTTCTATATCGAGCAGGGGACAAAGCGGATAGCTGCATGGAACGGGCCTACTACTAGTTGGGACGGCGGTTGCTCGGCCCATGTCATATTCCATGGTCAATGGAATCTTTGGTGGCCAGAAGGTCAAGGTTTTACGATCATCATCGTCACAGGGCTTGTCCCATTATACCGCGATATTGAACCAAGAATTGAAATCACAGTCATGCGTCTATTTGTTGCGCGATATTCTTCTCTATATTGGGTGTTCTTGTGTTCTCCACCCTTCCAAGTTTTAGAGCAAATGCCAAAGTGTTGGGCGCTGACACCATGTCTTGTAGTGTTATGACTCGCAAGGACACTACGGAAATTCTGTTCGAAGCAACCCTCTATGTTGATGGCATGCCTCAATATGACCTCGTACGACATGGAACTCGAGTCAATATCCAAGATCAAACGGCTGTAGATTCCGATGAAGATGCCTCCTCCCAGGACTCTGCAAACTCATCTCATCGTATCGAATTCGACCCTATGCACGCAACTTTGCCTAGTAGCACGGATCGCACGATCCTACCCTTCGTTAGCGACCTACACATCAGTGATCGAGTTGTAGACAAGGAGGGGGTGGAATGGGTGTGTCGAAGCTGTTTCTGTGGGACAGAAACATGCGACGGAAAGGCACTCAAACGAGTCGTTGGAAAAACCGAGCTGGATCCATGGGATCGCGGAAGGCCATTGAAGCGGCGGAGCGATCGCATTTAGTGAATGTTTCTCTGATGGAAGAGGGTCTTCAAATGCATCTAGCGTTTCCATCGTCTTCAATGGCAATGGTGAAGCGGGCATGAGTGACATGATACTAGAATTCGTGGCAAGAATTCAAGGGAATGAGCCTCTACTTCTACTAAGTGTAAAAGCAAGGCCAGCCATCTTCTCCCCTTTCTCACCCAGGCGCCAGTATGAATAACGGCACAGTCTTCTTCTTCTTTGCAACACTATTCCCCACCTTCGCCGCCCTATCACTCTTCATCTCACTACTAACTTACTACCAATTCCAGCGAGCACTGTCCCAAAACAACCAGCGCATCCACAATCTCGAAACCAGACTCACAGTCGTCATGACTCTGACTGACAACATCGACGCCTCGCAAAGAAGAACTTCTGGAAATGCAGATACCACTGGCAATGACACACAACCTATCCTGCTGCCTGCAACAGATGGCGGTGCCCACGGTTACCGCCTTCCGAGATTCCGCGCTCAGACACGAATGCGACCTCGTGCACCCGCTCTTTTGAGCGAGATAACGCCGCAGCGAGATAGTACTCCTGCAGCCCTTCCATGCAATACCGCAGTCCACCCGGTCGCCACTGTGAATAGGATTCATACCAATGGATCACACATCGATAGCGAAAGTGTTCATAGTTCCATGTCTGATACCACGATACATGGCACGAAGCCAAATGATCCCTCAGCTTACGCCTCGACACCGCATAATTCTGAGTAGTGATGCTGGGCTAGCCCGGACGAAAGATGATATTACGGTGTAGGTGGAAAAGGGGTGTGATCATCAATCGACCCATTCCACTGCCAAAGTGAGGTTCGTTCGGACGTTCTTTTCCGCTATTTCGGGAGGAGAGGCGATGGTCCATGCTATGAATTGGGTACGGAGCGATGATGCAATATTGCGTTGTAGTATCTACCAACTATATCACACCATGATGTTTCCCACAGCACCTACTATTTCTGCCCAACAGCCGAACTCTTTCCTGTGTGATCTGTCGTCAGCATGGTGCCCTGCTCTTATCCTGAATCATGCACGCTAGATCCTACTCTGCCAAGTAGCCATCCATACACAGTGGTAAAGTACAACCTCACTGTAAATCTCCTATCCATGTATCCATGTTCTTCTCGCAGTCACGCGAAGACAGCACACAACACTCAACGCCTCCTACTCTTTCGGCGACCTGAAGTCGAACGCGACCAGCGTGCAGCGCACCTCGTCCCCTCGTCTATACCGTCCTGAAACGCGCCCATGAGCTCTTGCCGGCTACATCCCGAGTGCCGCCCAAAATGGCTCGCAAATGCAGCAGCCATGGACGACAAGCTATGCACATCCGTCGCAGCATTCTTCTCAATAGCCCAGCCGTCGACCAGACGAGCGACGAAAGCTGAAATGTGCTGCGTGGACGCCCGCGTATTTCCCAGGAATAAATTTGCTACTCGTCCGATTGTGCCGGCGACGTGTGTGTTTAGTGTGGTACTTCTCTCTCGCATTGCAGAGGCTACTTGGAAAGTCTTGAGATGGGGTTTGAAGGCGTCTAGGTTCATCAGGCGTGCGGCTGCGTCGTCGTGTTTGCACAAGTCGTCCAAGTCTTCGAGCTTAAAGTGGGTGAGGATGGCTTCGTTGGGTATAGTTGCATGAGAGAACTGGAGTTGTATTATTATAATGCTTGAGGCTTACGGTAATCATGCGGGACTTACCCAGTCGCCATGGCCCTGGTACCGATAGCGGAGCTTGATCTTTCCATCAGTTTTAAGCCACTTTAATGTTTCAGCAGCCAAATGCGTCTTGTGTGCCTCTTGCATACAAGCAGCACGAAGGTCGATAACTGCGATTTGAGGCCGGTCGAGTCTTGCGGCAATAGTCAGAACTTGAATTAGGGACTCGGCCGCTGCGATAAAACTGTACAAGTACTTAGTAAGTGACGTATCGTTTGCGTGGAATAGAATACGAACCAAGGCGTGTCACCTACTCTACTCAAATGCAAGTGTGCAAGCAACTTAAAGGCATCATGAGGGTCGTTTGGTGGTATAGGGGGAGGAATCACGCTCCACTCTTTAAATGCACTGGAGGTGAAGCCGTCCGGTCCAAAGGATGTTCTGCTTGAGGCATCCCATACCCGGAAGAGTAGACATGGAGGCACCGTACACGATGTAACAAGGCCTTCTGTGTATTCGATTAATGGTACGACGTCTGGATTAGTGAGACCTTCAGCATCTTCCGCATCAGTGAGAACTCCTTCATCCTGGTCACTGGTGGCAATCGAACAGCCCCCAATGTGTAAAGCTTGCAGGTCGGGATGTCCAGCTTTTTGTCCAGCATATGACTTCTTGATAGACGACTTCTCAACGGAGATTTTTTTGATGGCTGATTTCCTCGCCTGTCGAACAAGTGCCTTGTAATACCGCCTTGTCAGCGGAGACTTGGCTGTCGCAGCCTTTCCTGACGGTGACTTTACTTCCTGGTCTAGTCGCACGAGTTTGATACCCAACATGCTCGCGGCTTCCTCAATATCATGTCTTGCCTTGTCGTATTTTCCTGTTGGATCAGAAAACAAGGTCGCCCCGAAGACATCATGATACATTGGAAAAGCTTTTCCTCCATACAGTCTCACATGATTCTCCAACTGATCCCGGATTTTTTTCATTGGAAGATCCAGCCTGTGGACTGCGTTGAATAGCCGTGCGAAGGCTTGGGTGTCCCGTGCATACCATCGCCACAGCACACATAGGAAGGTTCGTTCCGATAATGTCCAGTCTGGGGATCGTCAGCGATTATTTCAAAGTGAACATTGTCTAGTGCTACTTACGATGTGACGGCGAGCGTTCGAGAATGCCGCCCATTAGCCTTTTCTTAGGCGTTCGATGCTCGTTCTTTGGTTTTCGAAGTTTGCTTGTTGAGACACTGCCAAAGTCAAGTCGCCGAATTACAGAGCTCTTCTTTCCGGCCTTTTCTCTTTTTTTGCGCACTTTGGATTCTTTGTGAATTGGAGAAAGTCGCTGCGAGTCTCTGGCGCCGTATGGGCGTGGGCAAGGAGAGTCTAGAACGTGATCCGTTCGGTCGGTCCTATCGGATGTGTATCCCGCGTCGTAACTCACGTTCAAGCTCAGACCTGATGGTTCTAGAGGCGTAAGAGGGCCAGGATAGACTAGAGGAGTGCATTTATCTTCAGGTAGCTCAGCGAAAGTTTTCAGTTGCTCAACCCAAGAACAATGGAGCAGAGGGGACGATGTTGGTGTCGGGTTGGTGGCACTGTCCGAGGAAATCAAATCGCCATTCAAGGGCACAGATGATATACTCGTCATGCTAGGAGCGCTTGAAAGATCGTGCCTCTCACTCTTGAGATGGGCGGCAGTGGCATTGGGATTCGATATCTCGACCGAGGGCAAGACCGAATTACAGTCCTCATTGTCGTAACTGCCTTGTAATTCATCTACAATGTAGTTGTCGAATCAATTGACTGTCATCTCCCATTCAATTAAATTGATCTTACCCTGAACATCTGGCTCCCTTGATACCAGCTGCGAACACTGTTGCTGTGTATCTTTGACAGCCGGAGGTTTCATCGGCTCCCAGATCATAATCCCATCGCCAACGAGAGGCTTCCAGGTACCTGCTACCATTTTAAACGATGCAGATACTGTATGACAAGATCAAATACAGTTGGTGTAAGTGGTTATCATAATTAGTGTAGCGAGCCGATATGCTTGGAGGCTGTTGTAACGAAGAGCCTAGCGCGCGTCCGACGCGTCCTAGATAGGCTGGGAATCCCATGGAATATTGAAGCATATTTGAGAACGCGTCGACGCGTCGTGAGGATGATGTGGTGAATTGGATAGATTGTAGGTAGTAGGCTGTCTGCTATGATGTGAGCGATGGCAACGGGGGATCAGTTGCTACACGACGTACCGGCGTGATTCGAATAGATAGATTGATATCCTAGAGCTGTGGACTTGTTTATTGGCGTATACTTGGACCAATGCTTGTCGTGATACCACTGATTAGCGAAAGTACTGTAGTGATTATTGCAATATCACTACAAACCCCACCCACCCAAGTCCCCCTCACACCCATCCTCTCACCTCGAAATCCCACTAGCCCATGCCTCCCTCCTCAGGCAAACTCCCAAATCTAAATATTCCACAACAAACCAAATATATGACCCACAAAACAAAACACCAGATGCCATGCTAAATGCCTACGTCCCAAACAAGCATGACCTATATACAGGCAACCCCGCAACACACCCACAGCTTTGTCTTGAGGAGCGAGAATGTGTTGAGTCATTTGTGTCTGGGTGTGTGTATGTGATAGTGTGTATGTTTGGGGTGTTGATAAAGAGAGGGGGGCAAGGGTTATAAAGACTGACACGATATTCTACTATTCCATACTCTGACTGTCCTGTCCCATCTCATCCCATCCCATCCCACCACCCCCAAACCCGCATTCCCATCCCAACACCAGTGTAGATGAATCATATGCCCCCAATTCCTCACCAGAACAAGCATCCTCTCACATGCCAAGCGGAGAAAGAGGATGCAGGTCAAGTCAAGCCAACCACAACCACAACCATATCCATATCCATATATATATACTAGAAAACCATCCCTCCACAACCTCAACCCCGACCCACCCCAACACCCCCACGCACAAGCACATCCACATCCAAGGGTAGGCTAAACAAGCCACTATACCAATATACACAAGCCATCCACACGTCAAGTCTCAGAACAACCCCCCCCCCCCTTTCATGCCTGAACCGCAATCCCAAGGATATGGAGCGTATTGGAAGGTATTAGATTGGATAAGCGCCGGATACGGATGCGGGATTAGAGTAGAGTAGGGTAGAGTAGAGTAATTAGCTAGTAGTAGAAGCAGTGCAACTGCAGTACGATATCCAACAGGTATGATACGGTACGAAGACTGCAGCGGTGTCGAATTGCTGACATGCATGCTAGGAATAGATGGGATGCGACATGGCAAGGCATGGCATGGCGAGTCACGCAGACGGGATTGGAAGTCGGGTGGTGGGGAGGATTTGGGATAGGGGACACGGCGCAAGTTGTGGGGGTGGGGTGGGAGGCATCAAGTATGGTATTGCGCGCAAAGACCGCCGCGAGACCCGAGCGCGACTACCACCACCACCAAAAAATCCTCCCTCGCTTCCTGCATGCGCGCATGTCCATGGAACATATGACCTCGAATCTGTTGCGTGTTGTTGGCGTACTAAAGGAAAGCCGATCACTTGTGAGCATGCTGCTCGGTGCAGATTTTCCTGACCACCCACTTTTCCCAGAATTTGCGCTGCTGGTTGGTCACCATGATGCCGTCGTCCTGCAGGACATCGACGCTGTCCATGTGCCCGTTGCAGTTGCACCAGGTGACGGAGGCGGGGGTGTCGGGCATGGGCGGAAAGTGTAGGGTTCCGCCCTGTTCGGGCTCGTCGGTACCTGCGTCGGAAAAGGAGTCGGCTACGGATCCGTCACTGGCCTCGACATCGTGGTTGTGCGAGGTGTTGAGGCTGTGCTCTGCGTCGTCATCGTCGTCATCATCGTCGTCGTGGTCTTCGTAGTGATCCCATTCATCCTCGTCGCTGCTGTCGCTGCCTACCAGTGGGTCGTCTGGTACTTCCACACCACCCGTGGTCCACTGCTCGTCAAAGTGTTTCTCGTAGTCGATTCTCCGCAGACTGACCCAGTCCAGTCTGGCCATGTTGTCCCGTAGTGCTGTGAGAACGTCTGTCCATCGGCTTCCATCTCGTAAGATGACATCTCGTAGCCTGAATCCACGTAGTGTCTCTCGATGCCGTTGAGCAAGACTGATGATCTCCTCAGCATCGAGCTTCCACGCTTGAATACCAAACGCTTGCAGTTTATCCCACTTGACGTGGTGAAACAGCTCCTCCAGGCGCAGGTTTAGTGGTCTGTGTGACGGGAATCCAATATGGACGGCCTCAATGTTCTTGGCTGCTGTAAAAACGGCTTGTGCTAGCGAAGAGAGCTGTCGCATTCTAACGTCCAAATCTATGCCGTCATCGAAATGTATCTCGAGGCAGGTCAGACGTTCGGCAAGAACGCTCAAGGTAGTAGGAGGGTTGCTTGCTGCACCCAGGACGCTTTGTGGACTGAGCATGGGCGAGGAGAAGCGCGAACACGGTGATCTGGACTCGAGCAGCGCAGTGCCAATTGTTTTTGTGGAATGCAAGCAGGCCGGAGGCCACTTTAATTCGACCAGGTGCATCAGCTCAGCATGATTTCGCATGTAGGAGATGAGATTTCCGTCCTCCCGGTCCTGGACACGTAGGATTTGAACATGCTGCAGCGAGGTGAAAGCGGCTATGGCGAGTTTTAGGACTCGAGCGTCCTCTTGTGTCCTCAGGATGTCCTTTTGCTCATTGACTTTTTGCTGGAAGTGGCCAAGGTCGAAGAATCCCAGGTCCTCTGGGCGGGTACGAAGAAGTTCTTGCACACGCTCTCTGCCTAGGTGACAGGTTAGCTAGGGGGGTGGGCAAGAAGGGAGGTGACATTTGGCAGTGACCTTCAACGTAAAAGAACGGGACCATGTAGCTAAACTTCTTCACTCGCTCTGCAATATGTCGCTGGTTTGCTATATTCTCCAGCCGTTTTAGACCTCTTCTCGAGAATCTGGTAGTCACTCTTGAGAATTGATGGATGACGCCGAGGTCGGAAAACTTGCGGCACGTGAGCCGAAAAGCCGCGATGGTTTGGGCTTGATCGGGCTCCAAAGGTGGAGGTTGCTTGAAGCTTTCCTGGGAAAGGTAGGCACGTCGCTCGAGGCTTGTGAGTTTTTCTGGCTCTGAAGTGACATTTTCCAATACGATGCGGAGGAGCTCATCGGCGAGATCGAGGATACCCATTGCGGACGCGGCCCATGAACAGCAGCGGCAGCACAACGAAAAAGACGGAGACGAAGAATCTGGACTGGGAGGGAAATTGTGAAGCAGCGCAAGAACCAATCGCACAGGCCAGTCTTATGTACAAGAAGCAGAGGCAGACAGACAGTCTGGTCACAGTAGTAGCGGGACGGGGTCTGATAGTGACGGCAGCAGCAGCAGCAGCAGCAGCGCAAACTTGGCTGGCGAGACTGGATATGTTTTGCAAGCAGAGAGCAGCCAGAGGGGGCACAGTCGGGAAAAGAAGAAAGGTAGCATGACCTCGTTGCCAGCGGTCAGCTAAGCGTTGCTGGAGAGTCGCAAGCTGCTGGCTGCACTTGTCGAATCCCAAACAACCTTGCAAACCGACAAGACCAATGGAGGACCAATGGCCAGCCGAGGGGCTAGCCTGTTCACGGCCTAGCAGAATCACATGATCGTGTGCGTATGCGAAGGCCCGCAAGGAGGCGGGAGTGTCCATGTCCTTGCCGAGCGAGAAACAAGTCGATTCGTGTGTTGCAGCTGGACTTGCAGTAGGGCGACTTGACGGTACCTACAATAGCACAACAAGTACCAATACGCGGCCTTCAAGGGAGCGACTGTGATTTGAAGGCGGGGGGGGGGGGGGGGGGAGGGG